ACAGCATAAAATATCCTAGTGTTAGAGGGAATCTCCACTTGCACTTTAGCTAGGTCTAAGGAGCATCGCATTGTCTTGTCCCTGCGTGTAGTGTCGTGACCAGGGTATTGCACCAAGACGTATAACAATGCCGGATGAGACTACCCTACTCGTCATACCAGGCACCCTCTACGGTCTGTGGTTATGTATTACGGACAGAGAAGGGACAGAGGGTGTGGGGGTCCGCGCGGACCAAGCGGAGATAGAACCTCAACAAAAACCTAAATCCTATGATGACGCGACCAAGGGTCAAAGGGATGCATGACTAGATAGAAAACTAGCCTCTATACTGGTCTCAACCTTATTGAGGCACCAGGGCGCAACCCATTGTATTCTCGTCTTCCTTACTTCTACATGCGGGGCTCTGTAGAAGTGGACCGACTAACCCTTGCAGTATACCACCATCTTTGCCAGAACTCCAATGTAAGGACATCGAGTTTGCGAGACATCAACTCGAGAGAGGGGACCATCCTCACAATTTGAATTGAATTTAAATCCAAGAAGGCAATAGAGAAAGAATATTCTCTATTATAGATCCAAGACTACTACGGTATTAGGCCTAAGAAAAGACAAAGTTAAAGAAGTGGAGAAAATGGGGAAAGATCCTCCAGCCTCTACCTCAAGGAGGTACCTGAGGCGGAGACAAGCTCCTCGACTATGAAGGGCACGGAGGGCTAAACCGTGGAAGGGGTAAACCCTCGTAGGAAGTAGATGCATGTCCACTCCACTAGTTGTTGTCAGGAGGATGGGAAATACCCTGTCTTCCCTCCAACAGGAAGTTATATGAATGAATCCTGTCCCTCCCTGTATGAATGAATCCTGTCTTCCCTCCAACAGAAACATGTGTGATCAATTATAAACTGTTTGATTTTATAACTCAAGAAAAAGGGACACGATAGATCTTAAAGGTCGCCCTCCTACATTTCCATTCAACATTCTACCTGGATATAATTCCCCTAATCCAAAATAAAGTTACCAGTATGGACTCTGATTTGCAAAGGCGTTTATGAGTAATTTCAAAAATTGATGCTATTTTATGATAGCGATAATTTTATAAGAAACTCAACAATACGGTAGCAATCCAAAGATACTTCTAAATTTACTCTATAATGTCCAGTTATTTATAAGTTCCAAATTTTAGAAAATATGTCTACTACAAATGATTTTTGGATATGCAAATTTTCGAGTTGTTCAGCTCGCCAAATATAGGATGATAATTTGGCGATTTGATAAAACAAAAGGCAAAGGAAGCTGCCAATATTAATATTAATTATTTATAATAATTCAAATAGTAAAACAATCTACTTTTATAACTCTTAACAAAAGCTAGAAAAAATGTTAAGTTCCTTTATAAACAAAACTATTTTACTTACGATGTGTGGCACCAGTAGCTTCGCCATGTATATACGTATATCTAGAACGTGTTAATTCAAAATCAAACTGAACAGGTAAATAACTAGGTACATATATGTGTGTTACGGTTTCGTTATATAGCTAAGCGTCTACAGGTACACATACACACATACGTTTTATTGTTATTTGATAACCATTATCTTCATTTGTATTTGGCGCGATAAGGAGAGAATTTAACCCTGTTTTAAGGCTATATAATCATATAAGTAGAAGTATTTTACAACGCTGGTGCAAAATATTCGTGGGACGTTATATTAAATCGGATAGAAAGCATGTAATTAAAATTTTACTGCGTATTAATGATTTTAAATCTTTTTTCTCTATCAGGCGCCTTCTAATCAGTATTAAAATTTAGAAATATAATTTGCTGATAAATTGAACCATCTTAACATGAATAAATTTTTGAAATTCTACCTTGAACTTCGCCAGTCAGGGATCATAATTCATCTTTCAGGTTTCAGGTTTTCAAAATTTTCATAATATTAACCAAGCAGAGGTCTAGGTTTTTTTGTATCTAAAGGCCAGTATTCACCAAAAATGTGAGCAAGAGTGAATTATTAATATTCTGCATCAATAAATTGACGTACTGCTTTCCTCTCATCTTTGCTGAACACGAAGAAACATACGTTTGTGATACAGCTAAAGATACTAGCGTGAAAACGTAACGTGACCAGCATTACTTTTGAACCACTATCTTTGGGACTGAGTAGACCCACATACCAATTATTTATCTATTAAAGGATTCAGGATTTAGTCTGCTTGAATTCCTTTTTAGAACTTAAATTTCAAAAATGTCGAAGAAACCTTCTAAACACGCATAATATTGTTACGAACATCATAACGTCTACGACATTTGAAGTGGTCAGAATTAAAATGGATCAAGTCTAATTTCTTACTATTTTAAGATAATCGTCTTTATACGTTTATAAAATATTGTTTTTTCCAGTAGAGAAATGAATCAAGTCATACTTCACGCATTAAGCAGCTGTAGCTTATTTCTGTTTGGTTTCTGAATATTCTGTTGATTCCTTTCAGGAGTGAACTGAATCAAGTCCATTAAATTTAACGCTGTACCCGATTTTAACACACGTGCTAAAATTTAGAGCTAGAGTTCTCTTTTTGATAAAATGGATGACAATGAAACAAAGTCTGAACCATTTGCATCAAGTGAATCAGATTATCAGCCATCTTAAAGGTCTGATTCTATCGATTCTGAAAGTATAGTTTGATTTTCACTATTACTACATCAATAAGTTAGGCTGTTTTTCTTACAAATATTTAAATATCTGACACGTTGTTGACCTGAATAAAACTGCACGAGGAAGAAAAATCTTATCATTTCATATAGACGTAAGGTAACACCCTCTGAAAGGCAACACGTGAAAGATCTCCTTCCCTTTATCCCGCCTATATACAATAATTTTTATAAAAATCGTATAGAAAACAGTATTAATAGATAATGTAAATCCCTTAATGATAAAGAAGTATGTACCGATGAACCAATTTATATCTAAAATTTCAAATATTTTCATAGAGATAAAATGGTTCAAGTCCAAAAAAGCATAAACAAGCAACAAGCATTCTTAAAAATGACCACAGTAGTTGTATTTTGAGTTACTTTAGTTTGCAATTATACAATTTAAAATATAATAAAACATGGTGTGAAATTTTCTTCTTCAGCTTGTTTTATTTTAATTAAGTAACATTAAAAAACTTTAACTCTCATTTTTTCCATAATTATCTTCTAGGACTTGATCTATATAGTTCACTTCTGAACCCCTCATTTCTCGATAGTGCAAAAAACGCCCAATCTCTAATGGAAGATTTCTATAAAAGGATGAAGAAGGAGGATCGAAAGACGTCGTATCACAGCAACTCAAGAGAACAAACTTATACGATAATTAGAATAAGTTTGGTGATTATTATTATTAAATATTAAATTGATTATACATTGGTTGAGGAAAAAAAATAAAATTATGTTGTGGTTTCGTTTGAGGTGTTGAGGGTCTTAATGTTGTCTATGCTGTAAGCGTGTATTGTATTATTGTCGTATATTCTCAGATAAAATGGAAACTTATAGACAGAGCTTTCAAAATAAACGATAAATGACATCTGTTGGTACAAAAGAGGCGGTCAAGTTTTTGAATAAATAAATATCAGACCAAATACACAAAATTTCCACTAAATTTTTAAAGAAGTAATTAAATACACATATGCCTCTCTGCAGGGGCGGATGCAGGAATTTATGTTAGGGGAGGAGGCATATAAAAAGTAATGTAGAATTTGCTTTTTAGGGCGCCATTTTGAACTGAAAAGCCTAATATTTAATCCAATTTAGAGATTTTAGGGGGTGGGCGGACTCCATGGGTCCCCTCTGTATCCGCCACTGCCTCTCTGATAGTTTAGAGTAGTTAGTTCTTTGGTTAGATGTTTTCGCGGGAGCAATTCTATTTAAAAGTTATAGGTAAAAGAAATATATTAAGAGCTTATTTTGAACAATGCATGAATAGCTGCTTTGTTAAAACATTCATTAAGACCGCAAATACACTAAACGTTGTTTAAACTATATATATTTTCTCGTTTAAACTATATTTGTACCAACCATTAATCGCTTTTTAATTTTTTTGGAGCTTTCGAAATGATTAAACAAATAAAGTTGATAATGCTGTATATAAAGATTACATCAAATATAGTTTAGCAAATCGAAAACATGAATGATACTTTCAAAATTCGGATTATAAATGATTTATAACATAGCTTAATGATACTGAATCACCTTGGGTAGCGAAAACTAAGCATGCTTTTAGCTATAATTGAATAAAATTTTGGGATGTATTTAATTTACTCTGAAATACTTGAATTATTTTGGAGCAATGAGAAGCGTTATATTCTTTATACATTTTTTTTCTCAAAACAATGAAAACAGTACAAGGACCCAAACTTAATACTTTTATATCATAAGTATATCATTATACATAGTCTATCATTATATAGCTATAAATAATATAAATGTTTTATATTATTTATATTTTTGTATATCTAAATCAAGTAGGCAAAAAAAAGAATTATTTTACATTGTCCGAATGAAAGCAACACTGTACTCAAGTCTTAACACAATATAGGAAAAATTTATAAACGTTATCAACCCAAATGTTTTTATATGTATAGATACATAAATCTTATAATAATTATTATCAGGTGTTGTTATTACAATTACTACACAATGAGTTTTATAGCTCTGCCATTTTATGCTTAAAAATCAGTATGATTTTGTTTCATATTTTTTTAAACCAATAATTAAGTTAAAGATTTTTTTTTTCATTCTTAAGTTAGAAAATAATATTTGGTAACATGAAAAAATGAGGCGATCTTGAGTAATTACAGTTATTGCCATTTATCTGCTATACTAAGACACAGTAGATAAAAATACAATATCAATTAGTACCTATTAATGCACATGTCTCAAAAAAGGAAAAATGGTAGTTATTTACCTTTAATAACATATTTAAAATCTTTAATTATTAAAATATTTAGATGTGGGTACGTACCAAAGTGTTAGGAGTCGTCATCAAGTGATGCTGCAATTACGATGCCGGTAGGTACACTAAAAACTGATTTTTTGTGTTAATTTGCACCTGTGCAGCACGGTAAAACACCTTCATAGACACGACGTTCCACACTCATAAGTACTAGAACGGTGACGTCACGCCTTATCTTTTAGCACCTCGAAGTGGGGCTAAATATCTATAGAGTGATTCAAAAGAATTACTGTAACCGTTAAATAGATATAAAAAACAGGTAATCATAATTGTCCCAAAAATGAATTTAGTTTTTCATATCTATTTAATATCCTATTAGTCCAAGACACACTGATTTTTTTTGTACTTATTTTCTCATATAATAGTTTGTTCGGATGGTGACATTAAGTTAAAGAAAAAATAAAAAGTCCACTTATTTTCCAGTCATAAATATTTGACATTTATTAAAGTAGTGTTTGAAATTCGTAACCCTTAATTACCCATGGTTGAAATTTCATTTGATAATTTCATAAACTATAATCAAAAGCAAGTCTGGCTAATTTACGAAATTGGCAAATTACTTTGCCGGCATCTTGAAAATTGCAGAAATTTTTTTACGATGCTGGTTTTAAGAAAAAGCTTTCGGGTTGTTCCACATTAGGGTGGATCGGAAAATCTCAAAAATGAAATTTTGGCTTGCTATACCGCGCAAAAGTTGCCTTAGGTGTATACAAGCATTATCATTTTTTTTTTTATCAAATTCGGATAACATCTTCCGATTGCGCAACCGCCGAATTTGACAGTTTTTTTGCAATTTTTTTTTCTTAACTTGAGGTTTTTATTTTTTAGCGCTGTGGTGCTTAAACGTTAGTAATAGTATTTAGTTGCCTGCAGAAAAAAATATTACCTCTTTTAAACCATATAAATGCAAATTTTTATCTTTTTTCCGTAAGTTTACGCATGCAAATGTGCAACGCTTTGCTTATTTAGAAAACAATCTAATTAATTTTAAATTATTATCTAAACAACCCAGAACTCATTAGGAGGAGGTGGCTACACTTCGAGTTCCACCCTTCCCTCCATTAAGAGTGTGTGCCGATTTATTCCGACCTTTCCAATGTCACTTTGTAGTCTGCCTTACTGCTGAATTCGTTAATTGCTTCTCTCGATTTGAGTGTTGCCCTAATGTATCCATCGGATTGCGGCCCGTATACCTTAAGAGAAGCTTCGGTAACTAGCTTCACGCAACGCTCCACAGCTTGCGTGTGGTGGGAACTCTCTTATATCCCAATCCGGGTATGAACCTTTTGATTTCTTCATCACTTATCCCACGGAGAAAAGGTGGTGGCGATATTTTTGTAAGGCTCCAATCTATAATTTCCGTGTAACCAAATGCGTCAAATTTAAGTGAAGGAGTATGAAAGTTCCTAATGCCTTTTCCAGGCAAAGCAGACTGTCTGGCCTTTTTAGCAGTCTCCTGAGCCCTAACTCTCTAATGTGCCTCCTCTCATCAAATAGCATGGCTATTAAATTGTTTTCAGAATTGGTGTAGAAAAAATTTCTTTCGATTACCGGGAATACCACTGCCTCCAATTCATCACTCATCACATTATTTGCAGCTGTAATTATAATATAATCTATCAACTGACGAATTTTTAATACTGCGAAAATAAGCGAAAAAATATGCCAGAAAATTACCCATTCTCACAGATTACCTAGACTTTTTTTTGTTAACTGCACAACATTTCCCACTAATAGAACTATTTTTATCGCTGGAAAAAAAGTGCAGTATATTTATATAATATAATCGAATAAAAGTCCTTAGCCATGGCGTCGATTGAAGATAGCTGGCATTTTATATGTACATAAAATTATATGGGGTATGTCATCAATGTTCATTTCCAATCTGGCCAGCTATCTGGATGCCATTTTTTTCGATCATACGGTATTTTCTAACGCATTTTCTACTTCTACCCATCAGAAAACCCCCCGTGCACATATATGAAACTTGCTTAGAATAATTTACCAAATAATTCTATCGGTGTTTGCTAACTGGGAAAATAATTACCAAAAATCTTCACTGTCTCCTAGACTATCAGAGGAATGTAGAATGATCTATTGTGTCCCCATCATATATGGGGATTTTCCATCCTCCTCTGACAACAGATGTTCTTCCTCCGAGGAGTGGACATCTACCTCCTCCGAAAATATACGCACCCTTTCACGATTGGTGTTTGGGCGTTCGTGCCCTTCACAGCCGAGGAGCTTGTCTCCGGCTGAGGTATCCGTAAGGTGGAGGCTGGAGGATCTGTCTCCATTTTCTTCACGTCTTTAACTTCACGTCTGTCCTTAGATCTGATACCGGTGTTGTCCCGAATCTATAAGAGAATATATCCCTCTTTCTTTATTGCATCTTTGGATTTGAGGTCAATTCCTATTGTGAGGACCTGACTATGACCTCCATCCTCTAGTTGATGACTCGCCAACTCGATGTTCTTGACATCGGACTTCTGAGCCTAGATAAGGCTCAGCAGGTAGATGGCGTCTTTCCCCTTCCTTCTCGACAGAAAAACCGTGCTGGTCGTCTCTTTATGGATGTTTTCCCTCTTCATTGTAACCAATCCCAGCCTCTGCCAATTCTTAAGCTTAGGTGCCGTTTCTACCAGCCAATCCGCCGATTCTTGAGACGCGTAATCTATGAGGAGCATGTCCACCCCAAAGTATATCCCTGCAAAACGCAGCTGACCCACATTTTGTAGGTCGTTGTATGTTGTAGACCGTATTATGACTAGTAGACGCATTGCCAAATCATATACCCATAGAGTTAAAACATATACTCATGAGGTCCGAGATCGATTCCTGGGTGCATATTTGTATGTTGTACACAGATTATCCATTCAGAATTAGTCGGGTCTGCTGCGATTCGGCGGTATGTAAGTTATACTCGGGAGAGAACTTTCTTGGATAAAGCGAGTGCCACATACAGAGTAGTGTTGGCGTTATTATGAATAATTATGTTTTGTGAATTGATGACTTATGTCTATGGACTCATGTTATGACTTTTTATGACGTATTGTCTATATTATATTTTCCAACCCATTTAGCTAGGACAATAGACGCTGCGATTGCTGTTTTTTTATTTTTAAATAGCATGAAAAAGTTACCGGAAAATTACGAATACAGAAAAGTGGATGAAAACTCATTCCAATTATGATTGAAAAGTCAGGAAGAAGTAGAGGTGGGGGATAATTGGAAAGTTTATTCAGAAGAAATTAAAAAAAATATCAACGATGATCCCGACCTTTTTGTTCCTGCAATATCTAGTTTCTTGAAAAACAAAAATAAATATGGAAATAATGTAAACAAGCTATACTCTCATTTCCATACTGGTATTTAATTAAGCTAAGGTATGAAGAACCGAAATCGAGGACGGGTGCTTAAAAATAGTAAGAAAAGCACAACATAGTTTGTCGAAATGTGTTGAAGCAAATATCGGGCTCAGAAAAATGTTTCATTTTGTTTAAGACTCCCTGTCGAAGTGTTTTGTTTGTTACGTAACAGAAATAAATATTTTTATAATTTTATGTTAGACTTTTCATAGTTTCTATTAAATCACTATTTTTTAAACATGTACCAGCTTCAGTTAAGTTTTATGAATTTTATCAAAACTAACAGTACATGACTTACATAGGTCAATAAGTATGTCTTTTTAATTGTTTAATTGTAATTAAACTACAGTTTTAACTGCTTATACCTTATAAAAAATAAACGTAGGTAGGTATGACACGTTATATGCAACAATTTTGAAGTTTTTTTTTAAGGAGACTGAAAATATCATAAAATATCAAGCGCGTTTCATAAAAGAATAGTTATTTACCTAACTAGTTCGTGTTAGCTACACCATTTTTCCTATAAGCGCCAAAATTAAACTGGCATATATATGTTACACTGTTTTTGTATGTTGCACTCGCTTCATCAAAGGAAGTGCTCTCCCGAGTATAACTTAAATTACATACAGTCGAATCGCAGCAGACCCGACTAATTCCGAATGGACAATCTGTGTGCAACATACAAATATGCTTCCTGGGTTCGTGATTTTTCTTTTGATAATTCGCCATAAAACCGACACTGCGAAGATTCGTACATTTACACATCAAATCCGCGCATTAACGCATAGTGATTGGCTTTGACATTATTTGTTGATTAAGCAAATTTGTTATATTTTTGTTCTCCGCTCCAGTCGGATTATACTATATTAAAGTATAGTATTTTAAAAAATAACATATATATTTTAGATTTCTGTTTCGGTGGCGATTTACTTATTATTTTTTCAATAAATGAATCTCTCGCAAAATTATAGACATTGTTAGCAAGTTATATATTATGTATCCTATTATAATATATTAAAACTTCAATCCTAGTTTCTCTGCCACTTTATATAATACATATTTTGGGTATATAAATACAAAGTTTCTGTCAATATTATAATTACATTCTCATTGTTGTATATAGTTGCTTGGTAATATTAACATAAATATAAGATTTTAAAATAAATTACTAAAAAAGAGGACATGACTGTAACATATAAAAGTATTTGGTCACAGTGGTCTGTAACATATTTACCTACACTAAACAATAATAATCCCTGAATCATTGTTTGACAAGAAAAGGTACATTTTTCTGTTGTTTGAAACAAACCTTGAAATACTTCTATTTTATTTGGATTTTGTTAACCCAATTATCTCGTAACATAATATCAAAAATATGACATTTAAAATTATATTAACTAACAAACACCTAATGCTCTATAATTACGACTAAATATATAATAATTGTTATCATAAAATACACAAAGATTAAATTTAAATAAAGATATTTCAACAGTATTATAACAAAAAAGTTGATATAACGAATTGTTACTATCAAAGAATTATAAATATTTTGTAAATTTTTCAAAAACGTTATTATATTTCTACATATGTAATGTTTGTAATGTTTGATGTATGTAATGATTTAGGCCAAATGTGCTCAGAATTTTATCGCAAATGATCATCTCCAAGTTATTCTCCCCAAGTTGACTCTAATCGAAAAATCTGTGGAATATAACAGGCCTTTAATGTTGGTGTTTGATATAATAAATCAACGT